AGTCTGTCAAGTTTCTCCTTGCAGGCAAGGATTTTGAAGCTCTGCCTCACACACTTTGGGCATGTAGTCAGGAGAGATCGATCCTTGGAGAAAGACATCATGCTCAGAAGGGTAGAGGTAGAGGCAGAGCACAGGAAAGACCCCAGATGAGATGAACTGATACAGTGACCAAGACAAAGGGGATAGATGGGTCAGAGTCACAAGGACTGGCTCAGGACAAAGCAGGATTTAAGCTGTTGTGCATCAGTTCACTATGAGTCTCAGGTAACCCAATGGCACATAACAACTATAGTTAGCAATCACCACTACCAGCCCCAAGTTGCTGTCGAGTTGATTCAAACTCATGGTAACCCCGTGTGTGTCATAGTAGAACTGTCTTCCCAAGAGTTTCAAATGGCTGACTTTTTAGAAAGATCTTTCCAAAAAGATCACCAGACATTTCTTTTGAAGCACCTCTGGGTGGACTTGAATCATTAAGATTTTGTTTAGAACCTGTTATTGTAGCATGAGTATAAGCATCCAGGAGGGGTGAGAGAGGCTGGAGGCAGAGGGATGTGGATGTACAGGCGGAAGAGGGGATTAATCACTGGGTTGTGCAATTTGATGGGGCAGGGGGCAGTGAGGGAAATTGAAAGAATTTGTTTGAATATGTATTACATTTTTTTAAAATAAACTACTAAAAAAATAAAAATGCAACTGCAAAATTTAAAAAAATTGAAAAAACCCACAAAAACCAAAAACAAAATCTTAAAAAAATTTTGGTTAGAATCAAGGATTTTAACCACTACATTACCCAAGGACACCAGTTGCCAATTATAAGTGACTAAATAATTTACAACTATTAACTTGGAGTTAATAAAAAGCCAGCAAGGTAAAGACTTTCTAGCCAGGAAGTTAGAAAGCCAAAAGGGAAAATGGTGGCATTTCTCAAATTGGAAAAAAAAAATTAAAGAGAAAGCATTTAAGGCTTGAGTTGCAATATTAAAGGATTCTACGGACAAAAGATTGAAAAATGCAAGAAATACAAAAAAAAAGATTGAAGAAATACACAGAGTCACTGTATCAAAAAGAATTAGTCTACACAGAATCATTTCAGAAAGTAGCTTATGACAAAGAACCACTGGTACTGAAGGAAGAAATCAGAGCGGCACTGAAGGCATTGGCAAAAAATAAGGTTCCAGCAACTCAGAGTTACAGCAAATGGATGCAGCCCTGCACAAACTCATGCAGGCTAAGAAACTTGGAGGACAGCTACTTGGGCAACTGACTAGAAGAGATCATATTCTGTTGGGTCACTTAAAAAAATTCTGTACAAATATGATCTCTTCTAGTCACATGCCCAGAGTATGTGAGGTGGAGCTTCAAAATCCTAGCCTCCAAGGAGGGACTTGGTTTCAACCTCTCCAAGACAGAACCATGTTTTCTTGGCAGTCCATAGAATATCCCATAGACTGCCAAAAGAACAAACAAATCTGTTTTGGAAGAAGTGTAGCCAGAGTGTTCCTTGGAGGCAAGTATGGTGAGGCTTTGTCTCACATCCTTTGGTCATTTGATCATAGGAGAGGCCATCTCTCAGGAAGCAGACATCATGCTTGGAACAGTGGAGGAAGAGAACCTCAATTAACTGAATGGACAAGGTGACTGCAACAATAGGCTTAAGCACAACAGAGATTGTGAGGATGGTAGAGGATTAGGGAGGTTTTCTATCTGTTTTACTTAGGGTCACTATGAGTCGGAGTTAATTGCACAGCTCCTAACAACAACAAAGTGCAGTTAGGGGGTACAGCAGGCAAGGATAAAGATTGAGAACCTTGGCTCCGAAGCTGGAAGACCATATGAATTCCACAGTGGCCATGAGTTAAGATATTTAGCCTCTCTGCAAAGTAAAATCATAATCATAAACATGTTTAACATATAGAATTCTTTTGAAAATTAAGACAAAGCATACAAAAGGAACCTTGACAGCACAATAGGCTATGTGGTGGGAAGTTAATGAAAAGCTTGGCAGTTTGAATCCACAGGCATCTCTGCAGGAGAAAGATCAAGCTTTCTGTCCCAGAGAAGATTTGCAACCTGAGAAATCTAATGGTACAGACGTCCTCTGTAGGGCTGAGCTGGAACTGGCATAAGGGCGATGGGATTATTGTGGAATGCACACCGAAAACCAAGCACAGTGTCTGGCATCAGAGCTGATGTTTGTTAAGGTCAATGTTTGCTGAATAAATGAATTTGTATATAAATACTTAGATACATGCATACTTAAACCATTCAAATAATGGTCTTTTATTCCTTTATTCTTGACAATAATTTTGTAGAAAGACACTCTTGTTCCAGGTTGCATGGATTCAAAAATTAGCACCCTTCTCCAATGACTCTAGAATTATTCCAGTTCACTTTCTTTATCCTTTTAGCGATTCTGTTTGGTTTGCTTGTTTTACACTGGAAGCATCTTGCCTTTCATCCTAATCTTAGCATGTAACAACTAATCTAGATGTTTAAACAAACTTATGCACAAACATGATGATACTCAGAAAATATCTTTTACAGACTGAATTATGTCTCTCAAAAGTAATATTATATATCCTAACCCCTATACCTGTGGCTATAACTCCATATGGGAATAAGATTTTCTTCCTTATGTTAATGAGGCTATATCCATGTAGCTGTGTTTTAAACTAATCTAATTTGAGTTATAAGAACAAAAATATTGGGCACAGGGACAAGAAAGTACAATGAGGAAAGAGAGAAGACAAATGCAGCTCCCTTGACGAACTTGGAGAGCAATGCTATAAAAGCCGAGACAATCTTTTCATATTCATAAACAAAGCTAAGCTGTCTTGTTAGAATGACAGAGAGGGAGCATAATGGAAGGGCTTCAGGGATGTTGTTTGCTCTGAGCGCTGGTTAAAGGAATGTGTTTGTTCATGGAAATCCATTGACGTGTTACAATATGTATGTAAAAAAAAAAATCAAAGCATTCTTCTTAAAAAAATAAGAAGAGGGTAGTCTGAATGTGGGGCTAGACAGGTGTGTGTCCTGTCTGTCAGTGTAGAGTGACAGTTGTTGCTCAAGCAACACTTCAAAGAACCACCAGGGGTTTTTACAGCTTTCTTAGTTCTCTGGAAAAAAAGGAAGTGTGTGAATAAACGTGTTCTCTGTTTTGGAGGGGTGGGGGAGGAAAAAAAGCTGAGACAATGCTTTTCTCCTAGAATAGATAGTGAGAATTTCCCCCTAGAGACGGATCCTTTAATTTGATATTCAGCTTCCTAACCCTGCTTGCTGAAACTGAGGAGGACCTGAAGCACTTGCTGCAGATGGTCATGGACTACAGCCTTCAATACGGATTGAGGCTCAACATCAAGAAAACAAAGATTCTCACCACTGCGCCAATTTACCACATCTTGATCGACAGTGAAGAGATTGAGATAGTTAACAGTTTTCGTTTGCTTGGCTCTACAGTCAACGTTCTTGGATCAGCAGCCAGAAAAACAAGAGACGAATTGCACTGAGAAAGTTAGTTGCCAGAGACCTCTCCAGAGTACTGAAGATTAACAACATTAGGCTGGAGACTAAGATGTGACTGATCAGGGCTATAGTCTTAACAATTGCGAGCTATGCATCGGAGAGTTGGACAGTGACTAGGGTTGAAAGAAAGAGAATTGATGCCTTTGAGCTGTGGTGCTGGAGAAGAGTGTTGAATATACCATGGACTGCTAAGAGAACAAACAGGTTTGTCCTGGAGAGGGTGAAGCTGGAGTGCTCCTCGGAGTCAAGGATTCTGAAACTTAGTCTGACATACTTTGGGCATGATGCAAGGAGGGACCAGTACTTGGAGAGGGACATCATGTTTGAGAGAGTGGTGGGACAGCACAGGAGAGGAAGGCCCTAGATAAGATGGATTGATTGAGTGGTTGGGGAAGTGGGAGTTAGTGTGCTGGTGACAGCGAGGTTGGCACAGGATAGAGCAGGGTTCAGGGCTATTGTACATAGGGTCACTGTGAGTCGCCAAGTGACTTCATGGCACATACAGCAACAACAACAAACTCTATGAAAATAAATTCTATTATGCTTAACCCACCCACTTGTGGTATTTTTATTATGGCAGCACTGGTGGCCCAGTGGTAAGGAGTTATACTGCCAACCTAAAGGCAAGCAGTTTGAATCCACCAACTTCTCATCTGCAGGAAGATAGGTAATTTCCGCTGTGATTTACAGCCTCTGAAAACTGGAGGGAGGGTCAGCTATGAGTCACTTCTGACTCAAGGACACACAACAACAAGAAGAAATTAAGGCCATATTCTAGAAAGCATTATCCATTGGATATGGAAAAGTCTACAGAAATGCAAGAACTCAATCTTTTCACATCTCTCTCATGGCTAATTTTCCAAATTCCCAACTCTGACAATATATAAAATATGAAACTATGACATTGTATTCTGTATGTACACTTCCAGAGCTATACATGTCTGTATTACCCTTGCCATGTGACCAATATCATCCACCATGCTTCACTCTTCATGACCTGTTTTTTTTTTCCTTTAATACTGTATAGGTCTTAGTTTTTAAAAGTGGCATGCCCATTTTCATCTGTCAGAAACTCCACCAAACAGAAAAAATTGAAATGTCAAGTGAGCAATTACAAAATATTTTAACATTGTATGATGGGATCTATATGTAATGTCAACCTTATAAGAGAGATAGGGCAAGTATTTAATATCTCCATTTCACAAAAGGAAAAGAAAAACAAGAGGCTTAAATGAGTTTAGGACTTGGCCTGAGTTACACAGGAGATGTTTGGTGGAGTCAAAACTCAAGCTTAGACCCTCCAATCCTAAATTCCAACACTCTTGTGCTGAACCACATACTCTTTCCTTGGTCCCTGAAATGCATAGTTGCACAACCCCCTACATGTGCTTTTTCACATGCAATGTGTACTTTCTCCAGTTCCCTTTTAGCGTTCCATTGTTTTGAGAAGTTATGGGAAAGGGAGTGTCACTCACCACCAGGCATCTGCCGAGGGTCCTGCGATAGGAAGTCCTGGCATTCCTTACTCCTTTCTGCAGAGGCTGCTCTATGAGGGCAAAGCATTGGCTGATGGTCTTCTCGAGCTGCTGTAACTGCTCTTCCACAAATCTCCTCAGGCTGCTCATGTGCAAGTATTCATTCTGGGGGCAAAGGCCATAAGGAGGATCAGGCCAGCCTTCCACAAAAGCACCATCCCCTCCAACTTTCCTTCCTTTATGCTCATCACCAACATATGATGTAGCCTGACTGATTCTTATTTTCCCAATTCTGACCCCTTACTATACAGATCTCCTTGGACTTTTTGGGGAGATTTAAAATAAAACAAATAACATGCCTCCTACTACTTATTTTTGGTATACAGTTCATCAAGTTATTTGGAGAAGTAACTACCCAAATATAAATCCAATTGCCATGAAAATTGTGACCTCTGTCCCTCACATCTGATTCAACAAACATAAGCTTTGACTTTGTGTAAATAAGTTTTTGAGGGTAGGTTTTCTCAGACTTTGGGGAGCCTTAATGCATAAGGAGTTGCACAGCCAACCCAAAGACAGAGGGTCTGAATCCACCAGCTGTTACAAGGAGAAAGTATGACAGTCTTTTCTTGTGTGCTTTACAGCCTCAGCCACTGTAGGATTAGTTGTCAGTAGGTTCTGACTCCAGGGCACACAACAACAATTTCTCAAACTTTAATGTGCATACGAATCACCTGAAGATCTTGTTAAAATCTGAAGGCCCAGGAGTCCACATTTCTAACAAGCCCCCTCAACATTTTGGGCCACATTTTGAATAGCAAAGGACCACAAAAACAAAACCATGGTTTCTGATTTCAAAGACTACAGTCTAGTCAGAAGAGAGGCATCTATTCAAACAACACAGACGATGTGACTTTGACCTCTAGGTTCCAAACTTTAAATTCATTTAAATGCCATTCCCCTTTGTAAGAATCTTGACTGATTGCACAGTGCCTATAGTGGGCAGGTGCCATACTCTTGAACTTGACACTTGCAGTTGGAGGTGCCAACCAAAACCCAATCAGATGTGGTGCAATGTCCTCTTTCCCTCTTCCTCTTCAATTCTAGTGGACTTCTGGTGACTCCAGGTGTCCAGGTAGAACTGTGCATTATAGGGTTTTCAATGGCTGATTTTTTTCAGAAGGCATTTAACAAACTTTCTTTCTAGGCACTTCTAGGTGGAGTCAAACATCTGGACTTTGAGTTATCTAGCTGAGTGTGTTAACTGTGCTACTCACACCATAATCACCCATTGGCAATGAGTCAGGTTTTGTCTCAGGTGACCTCACAGTACAAAGTGGAACTGACCTGTAGTGTGTCCAAGGCTGTAAATCCTTCCAGAGTAGACTACCACATCTTTCTCCTCTGGAATGGCTGATGGGTTTGAACCATTGGCCTTACAGTTTGCAATCAAGTGCCTAACTGCTGTACCACCAGGTCTCCTCTATTGCCCAGAGACTCCTAAGTCTACTTCTTAAGCCATTTCTTTATTAGCTCAATACATCTTCCCAAGTAGAGGGCCCTAAATTTGTTACAATTCCTCAAACATCTCATGTCTTCTCTGACCCTTCATCTTTGTTCATGTATCCTCACCATACACCACACAAGGCAAAGCTCAAAAGTCACTCCTTAGGTCATACTTTCCCTGGTTCCCTTAAGGAGGGTGGAGCTCTCTTTCCTGTGTTCCGGCAGCATTTTGCACAGCCCTGTATTGCAGCACTCATCCTGCTGTGTTATGTCTATGTGACTACATATGTCTCCTTCCCTGGACTATGAACTTGCTGAAGGGGCAGACTGTGTTGTTCATATTTATTATTCCAGGAGATGGCATGAAGAGTGCAATCTATAAGCATTTACTGAGCGCAGGAAAGGCACAAAGAAAATGCCAGATAATATAAACTTTTAGTTCTATTGCAAATTTTATGACCAAAATATTCCTGGAATACATGTGTGACCTTTTACAGATGAATGCACTTCTTTGGACCTCAATTGCATCATCTTTAAAGTAAGTAAATTGAGCTAAATGGTCTTGAAAACAATCTCAAACTAAAGTTTTGTGAGCCTTTGAGTTTATGAGCATTCAAGTTTGCGTCTTAGAGTTTTCTAGTTTATGGGGACCATTTAGTTTTAGGAGTGCCCTGAGGATTTTCATCGTTTTCCCATTCAGTGTTATATAAGCCATGCATGTCTTCTCCTGGAGTGTTCTTTATTCTTTTGAATTTGTAGTGTCACTGATGACCAAGATGAAATAAGACAGAAATTATGAAAAACGGCATCTAGGGATGAGAGTCTCCAAATATTCTACTCTCAATAAATCCCTGGTGAATAAACAGAAGAACAATAAAGGGGTTGGGGATAAAAGTACAATAAGAAAGGCAAAAGTTGCCATCTAGCGTCAAGGTTAGTTAGCCTGATTTCAGTCATTTTATAAAGTGTGTAAGATACCAGCATTTCTCTAAGCTAGATGGTGGCCCAGTAGTAAGAAGATGTGTTGTCAACACTAAGGGACGTAGTTTGAATCTTCCAAGGGAGAAAAATATGCAGTCTCCATATGACTAACTGCCTCTGAACATGCGCTCAAAGGTGAGCTAGGAGTCAGTTCTGACTCCGCTGCACAGAACAACAGATAAAGAACACATGAAGACTCTATATTTTATTGTTTGGTATTGTTAATAATTCTAAAACGGTTTCAAAATTTAAAAAAAAAAAAAAGAAGTTGCTATCAAGGTGAACAAGTGCTGCAATTTATTCAAGACCAAGGAAGAATAGCTTCCGATCGATTCTTAGTGGTAAGGAATAGCACTACCAATGCAAGAGTACAGGTAAACAGTTCAAATCCACGAGCTGCTCCACAGGAGAAAGATGGGCAATCTCCTCCCATGCGATTTATTGCCACTGAAAATCTGCTGGAGAGTCAGCTATAGGTCGGTTCAGACTCGACAGTACACAACAACAACATACCTGATTCTTAAAAGCTCATGATATTTCTGTCCATTTAAAATCAACTACTCAAAAGATTTAAAGATTGTAACCCAAACTCAAAATCAAGTTTTGAGTCACAATTTTTAAAAACTATCAATCATATACGTTTCTGATCTGATCTTTTAGAACTTGAAGTAACTGGCAAGATTCTTGCCTTTCAACTTTCCACCAATGAGCCAAGACTAAGACCAAAATCTGGGGCCAAGGAATTTTGAGGGAAGTTGTTGGCAACTCCCTTTAGATAGCTATCACAGAAATGCAGATCAACCTCTTGTATTTTCTCCCGCCTGGGGTTGGCTCCAAGGATGGGGCTGAGCCTAGTCTCAGAATCAGCACCTCAGCAGAGAACAGCATGAGGGGGGCAGACCCTTCCATGTTTCACTGCAAAATGCTTTGTCCTTGTGTTTGTAAATAAACCAACCACACGCGGCACCACATCTGATTGGTTTTCCGTTGGCACTTCCAAAAGCAATCTTTTGCTGGGCAGAAAGGCAAATTTCATCCTGCAGGAACTTTTTCGGGAAGTTTGAAGGTCAAACCCTGTCCCAGAATTTCAGATCTCTAAGCCTAATGAGAACATTATCTGATTCCAGGATTTTAACTTTTTTTTTTTTTTCCCCTCACAGAAGCAAGCCAAAGCAAGGCCAGAGGAACATGATGAAGAAGAACGAAGTTTGTGTTCCAAGTCTCTTTTATGGGAAGCTTTACAAATGTGGACACTGTCCATCTCTACCTGGCATGCTTGCTTTTCACGCTGAAGCCAGGGCTCCTGCATCTGCCTCCCTTTCCCGCTGGGCAGGGTCAGCCCTCGATCACATTCCCACATTCTCAGGGTCAGCCCCTGAAATCTCTGAGAACTCTGTGGGTTTGCTGGCCCTGCCCTTTCCTTGTTCCAGCACAACAGGAAGTCAGCCAACTTGGTTGTATGAAACTAATGGGGGAAAGCAAAGCAGGAGGAAAATTGACGTGGTTGGTGATTGATAACAGCAACCAGTTTCTCTCCAACATTCTCCAAGGCCTCTGCCAGCATCTTTAGCTGCTTGGCCTTCCTATTGTAGGGTGAATACATTAATGAAGTCAGTCCTTCAAAGAGACACATTTCTCCATTACTACAAGAAAGGTAAATTTTCAACTTCTCATTCAGAAGGCCTGTATTCTAGATGGTGATGATGATTATCTCAATTCTTCACTGAAACCTCCTTTTCATTTCCTTCCTCTCTGGTTATTTTACTCCAGTGGCTCTGTGTTTAAGTTTCCCACTGCACCAGAGAACAGAGGAACTCCACAGGTAAATGAAAACCTTTTCAGATTGCACACATACATGTGTCCCTCTAGGATGGCCCGGTGCACAGGGAGCTGTGCTAGTAACACTCCATGGGAGGTTCAAATCCCCCAGTAGCTCCTCCAGGAAAGATGGGCAATCTCTCCCTGTGATTTACATCCCCTAAAAACCCACTGGAGGGTCAGCTATGGATTGGTTCCAACTTGATGGCAATGAATTCAAATTTTCTAGGATAACCAAGAATGGCCTACACTCCACTAGAAGCAAACAGAATGGCTCCTGCCATCATTTACACCTATTTCACCTTGTTCAAGTGTCAGGGGAGATGGGAAACTGCCAGACTCTCCTTCCATTCCCCTCTCGGCACATCTGTCCTGCATAAAATATCACTCCTTTTCATTTCATTCAAATGCATTCTTTTTAGCCTTCTAATCAACTTTGTCTCAATTACTTGCTATTCATCAGAAAGCTGGACAGTGACTAGGAATGATAGAAGGGGAATTGATACCTTTGAGCTGTGGTGTTGGAGAAAAGTGTTGAATATACCATTGACTGCTAAGAGAACAAAAAGGTTTTTCCTAGAGAGAGTGAGATCAGGCTACACCTTGGAGGCAAGGATTCTGAAGCTTTGTCTCACATACTTTGGACATGTTGCAAGGAGGGACCAATCCTTGGAGAGGGACGTCGTGCTTGGGAGGGTGAAGGGACAGCGCAAGAGAGGAAGACCCTCAATGAGATGGATTGATTCAGTGACTGGGGTAATGGAGGTAGGTGTGTCAGAGACAATAAGGTTGGCTCAGAATAGAGTAGGTTTCAGGGCTGTTGTACACTCTGAGTAGCAAGTGACTCAACGGCACATAACAAGAGCAACAACTATCAACTTTGTTGTCTTCTCCAGAGTTTCTAAGCTTAGTATCCTCCATGGATGTGAACAGAAAAACAAACAAACAACAAAACACAAATTAATCTATAAACACAGTAAAGGGAATGGTTTGTTTGGTCTGGGAGGGAGAATATGTAATCAGGTGTCTTGCGTACCGGCATGTCGTCCGTGGAGTTGAAACTGTCTGTGAGGAGCAATAGGCCAAAGGCTTCAGTCACGTACTTGGTCACCATCCTCCTCTTCATGTCTAAGACTCGTTTCCTGATATACTCTCTTAACTTGGGAATTTCTGGAATTTATAGACAGTACAGTTTTAAATGACCAGAAGTTGTACAGTAGATAGAATTCCTATCAAGAGACCTGGGTTAACTATTGTTGAGGTCTTACATAGGCTGGATAGCCACTACATCGATTTCTCTGAAGGACATTTTCTCTAAGTCTAGGTTCAACAACACGAGTGTGAGATCAGCAATATTAACTTTATGTAGTAGGGAGAAGCACTGCTAACCCAACGGCCGTGCCTGCCTAACAGCTTGAATCCACCAGCAGCTCTGTGGGGAAAGATGGGCAGTCTCTTCTCATGCCATTACAGCCTTGGAAACCCAATGCAGGATCAGCTCTGAGTCTATTCCAACTTACCAGTGATGAGAGCTAGAGAAACAAACCACAGACACACCTCATTTTACTGCCCTTAGCTTTATCATACCTGGCAGATATTGTATTTTGGATTGTTGGGTTTTTTGTTTTGTTCTTTTTAAGAATTGAAGATTTGCTCTAACCCTGAGTCAAATAAGTGTATTGTCACGGATTTTCCAATAGCACGTGTCTCTTCGTGTCTCTGTTCACATTTTGGTAAGTCTCATGATGACACAAATCTTTTTATAATGTTAAACCGGGTGGCTCCTTGGAGGCAAGGATTCTGAAGCTCCGTCTAACATACTTTGGACATGTTGTGAGGAGAGACCGGTCCTTGGAGAAGGACATCATGCTTGGGAGGGTGAAGGGACAGGGCAGGAGAGGAAGGCCCTCTATGAGGTGGATTGATTCAGTGACTGGGGTAATCGGGATGGGAGTGTCAGAGACAGTGCGATTGGCACAGGATAGAGCAGAGTTTAGGGCTGTTGTACATAGGGTCGCTATGAGTCACAAGCGACTCGACGGCACATAACAACAACAACATTGTGCAATTAATGAAAGTGTGATATTGTTATGTGCTGTTAAGTCGGAACCAACCCATAACTGACCCTCCAGCGGGTTTTTAGACTAAATGGCACAGGAGGAGATTGTGCAACTTTCTCCTGCAGAGCAACTGGTGGATTCAAACTGTATGCCTTTGGTATTGCTCTGCAGCTTCTTACCTCTAGGCCACCAGAACTCCCAGATGAGGCCCTAAGAAACCAAGAAAATATTTACAGTTTCAGCAGCCCAATGGAGGGTCACTGCGAGTCAAAATGGACTCCATGGCAGTCAGGTCAGTTGTTATTCTCCATTTTCCTCTAATAACTATCTTTGGACCCCAACCATGTTGATAAGTCAGGCATGGGTGCAGTTCCTCCTCTAGATTTTAGATGCTATGAAGGGCCATGTCTTCTGCTTTTCTGTATACAACGGATACTCATAAATACTTTATGTCATTTCAAGCCCAATTTTAAAGATGACTTTACTCAATCCCTGAAAAGATTTAGAGAAGAGGAAATACTGTGTTCTCAGGCACCACACATTAAAGAGAAACAGAAAAAAATATTCACTAATAGTATATAAACTGGAAAGCTGAAAGTGAGTCAAAAGAACCTCCAGAGAGGGATATTTGGAGTGTCAAGCTAAGCCTTCAAACGTTAGTGACTGTGATTACCAGTTTCCTCTTCAGTGAGCAGAGTCCGCTGCCAGTACTCTTGGGCACTGACGGTGTATACCAGATCTGAGGCTTCTAGAATCTTGGAGTCAGCTGGCAGTTTTCTCTGAAATGAGAGAGGCACATAGGGAATAGAATAACTTAACGATTGAAGAGGAAAAACGAGAATGTCTCATGATAATCCATCAGCAAATTCAGCTACTTTGCTTCAGCTCTGTAAGAGCCCCATAGAGAAAAGAAAATATTCTATAAGGCCGGGCACTTCCATCTGTACATTCCTAACAAAGTTCAAAGTTGTGAAAAACCAGTATGCAGCAATTAATGTTCTTTGACATTAAAAATATCAATTAAAAGGACATGTATAAAACATTAGCTTAAAAGGTAAGTAAGATGTTGGGGGGTGGTGATAAAAAAGTGACCCTTTTTAGGAAAAGAAGCACTTCTCTTGCAAAAGCTTTGGTGCACTGGAGTCAGCATATAGCATCTGCCAAGTCGTGACTGTGCACATCTCCTCCCAATGCTACATTTGGGGTAGCCTACCTTGGAGAAATGATGAAAGTTATCCAAGTGTTCAGGTCTTTCATTCATAGGGTCACTATGAGTCATCTATGACTCTATGGCACTTAACAACAACAACAACAGTGTGAAGAAGCAGCACTGCAGTCCTAAAAGCACACAGTTCAAATCCACCAGCAGCTCCACGGGAGAAAGATGAGCAATCTCTTCCTGTGCAATTAACTGCCTCTGAAAACCTGCTGGAGGGTCTGCTATTGTCCAGTTTTCCAACTTGAAGGCACACAACAACAACAATTACCTTGGTAAGGGTTATCGAGTCAGCTCTGGCTCACAGAGGTGCTATGAACTGAGTGCAATTGCAACACTGCCTTGTTCTGCACATTTTCACAATCACTGCTGTGCCTCAGCGCACTGCCGCAGCCCCTGTGTCAGTCCATCTTGTTGAGAGTCTTCCTCTTTTTCACTGACTTCTCCTCTATCAGGGAACACTGGTGGCCTACTGGTAAGGAACTACACTGCCAAACCTAAGGCACAAGGTTCAAATCCCCCAGCTGCTCTACAGGAGAAAGATGGGCAATCTTCACCTACACAATTTAATGCCCCTGAAACCCCCCTGGAGGGTCAGCTGTGAATCAGTCCTGACCTGATAATACACAAAAGAAAACAGCAACAACAACTCTACCTTTCAGGATGTCCTTCTCCAGGGACTGGCCCCTCTTGACAACATGCTCAAAGCATGTGAGATGAAATCTCACCCTCCTCACTTAAAATTGGCAAAGATGAATGTTATCGATTAGATTCTATCCCTCAAAAATGTTTATAACTCCTGACCCCAAAACCTGAAAGCAACTCCCCCCAAACCCCTCTATTTGTAACTCACAAGTTTGTTCTCTCTAGGTTTGCTCCCTTTCCTATAGGTAACCTTACCACTGAGTTTTACTTCAGACCTGACCCCGAACCCAGTGCCAGTGACAAAAAGGAAATACAACTGCCAGCAAAAGAAGCAAAGAAGGATGAAGCCTCTGGGTTCAACCAGCCATCCACACTGGACCCACCTGGGAAAACACTTTGCAGTCCAGAGGGGAGCAAATGAAAGGAAAATATCTTCTAACAGAACAAGAAGGCAAGCAGCCTTAACCCAAGACCACCAGTAAGGTGATAAAGTGTCCTCCCTTTCCCCTTCACATCAACGCCCCTGTTCAGCATGAAGAAGCCAGAGAGTCGGCATCCAGTTCCCAAATCTATAAGACAGTTGATTTAATTACCATTGGAAAATGCTTATCATTCCCCTGTAGCATCTGGTCCCCACTGGATCCTTTTCATTTCCTTCACCTGCTCCCCCCACCAACCAATTTCTTCAGCTCTGCAACTGCATCCCTCCTCGCCCTTCTGCCCCCAACCCTCACCTCCTTGTACCCCCAATATGCTCTTTCCCAATAAAAAAAAAATAGATCCTGACCCCAATGCTTGTGACTATAACGCATTGTGAACGAGTTACATTTATTATGCTAATGAGGCAAGATTAGAAGAGGGTATATTTTGTGTGAATTTCTTTTGAGATCTAAGAAAGATTAAACAAACTAGAGGCAGAGATGGAAGAGAGATGCCAGGCCACAAGAAGATCTCCCAGAAAGAGAAACGCAAAGGGAAAGGACCTTCTACTAGGGCCAAGAGAGAAAGCCACCACCTAGGGCCAGCATCCTACATTCAGAATTCTTGCTTTCTAAACTGTGAGAAAATAAACTTCTGTTTGTTAAAGCCACCTACTTGTGGTATTTCTGTTATAGCAACACATGGTAGCTAAGAGAAAGAACAGTGGTAATATTTACACCAAGGGAACCATCAAATGCTACATGTCAGAGCATTTATTTTATTTTGAACAGAGAGCTGGTTGCTAAACATTTACCAGCACAACACGTCCTCCAGCAAAGGCAAGTTTCCAACATGATGAATGTGATAATGTCACTAACTGTACATGTATGGGAAAAAAGTGAATTGGCAAATGTTTTTGCGTATATACTTACCACAATATTTTTTAAAAGTACATGTTTCTTGGCTGGGTGGTGAGTCAGTAACCATATGCATTTTAATAATGAATACATTTAAGCAAATGATGGTTTCAAATGTCATGAAGTTAAGAATCCTGTGAGAATCTGTATTTTTTTTTATGATTAGAAAATCATTTTAACAGCAAAGCCACACTAGAATGACACATGCATAGTGTCCCATAATTGTTTTTTCTTTGCATATAAAAGAAAAAAGAGAAACCACACAGTCTACATAAATCTGTTTACATGCATGTGCCCAAGAACACACACACACACATGTTTGGAGGCAACAGAAGTCAGTGAAGAGTCATCGGCCTCCTTCTGCTGAAAATGTGAACAACTGAGTAAGTAGAGACCCTGGGGGCCCCTCCTAGGGTGAGATGCCATCTCTCTGGGAAGAAGTGAGCTGACAGAGTTAAACCTGGACAGAGAAACCAGATCAGGCTTCTCGAAGCCACCCACACACTGGAGTGAGGCTGAGCTGCAGTTGAAGAATCACCTAAGTTTGACTTTACTTTTCCTTCTCTTACAGATAGACTTCTAGCTGAGACGGTGGACTGGGCAGCCGGCAGCCTAGACTCAGATAATGAACAAGACTCTCTTCAACTAAGACCCCACACAACAAAGGTAACACAGATGAAGGATAATTCTGAAACTCTGAGTTTAAAAGAACAAGGTTAACAAGTACTTTCAACATTGACTAAAGGAAGGAAATTAATGAAAACACAGAATGAGACAGAGCAGAGTTGCTGACAGTCTGACATGGCCATTTTGAATGTCTGTCTGGTTGGTGTGGAGATTCTGGACTGTAGTGGTGTCCACAGTAACAAGAAAAGTGCAAACTCCCAGTATTCCCTGTATCTTCCCAGGGTCGTATTGTTCCTCATATCTCCAATTATTCCCAAATATTCTCCAAATAACCTCAATAACCTCAATATCAATACCAACCAGGTAGATGACAGTGTTTCCTCAAAAGCTAAAGCCAAGTTCATACCATTGTAACTAGTTGTGGAATGACACACACACACCTCTACACTCGAAGACTCCTGGGAGTTGCACGTTGGACCCCATTTGGCCTGCAGCAGCCCCTGGATTGGTAGGGTTACCATCCCCGACTGAGATCCTTGTCTCTGAGATTTATAAAAACCACAATAAAATAAAGACGAGTATATCACACTGTTTCATAAGCAAGAGATGCTATGCATTTGGAAGTTGGACAGTAACGAAGGATGACAGAAGAATTGATGCTTTTGATTTATAATGTTGGAGAAGAGTCCTGAATATCCCATGGACAGCCAAAAGAACAAACTTTATATGTCTTGCAAAAAGTGCAACCAAGTTGTTCCTTGGAGGCAAGGATGGTGAAAATTCATCTCACGTACTCAGGGCACGATGTTAGGATGGCCAATACTTGGAAAAAACATCCTGCTAGGAAAGGTGGAGGTCAGCAAAAAAGAGAAGGACTCTCAACAAAATGGATTTGCACAGTAACTGTATCAGTGGGCTCAAGTATAACAGCGATGATGGGAATGGCACAGGATAGGGCAAGGTTCTGATTCATTGTTCATAAAATCACTATGAGTCGTTGTTGACTCAATGACAACTACTTAACAAGAGAAGAACTTTATAAAAAATACTAAAAGGAGGTCTTCAGAATAAGTGCTAACAGCAATAGACAACATTGTGAAGTGAGCATACATGACAACATTCAGAAATCGACTCAGACACAGAAATAAATGGAGTATAATAAACATATGACACTAAAAATAGGGAACCAAAGGTACCAGTCTATAAATGACAATGCAAAATGAGGGGATAAGCAACATAACTGCAGAATTTCTGAATGAAGAAAAAGGAAACTTCAATACAAAGTGAATTGTTTTAGATTTGGGAGTGAAATAATAACTTATAGGGCAACCTCCAAACAATTAATACGGCTTCTAAACACGACATCACTACTTCTGTAAAAAAATTAATATGCCTTCTCATTAAAATGAAGAGGAAAACTACAAAGACTTAGTAAATGCTAAACCAACAAAAAGTCATAAACACAATTAACTCAGCACAGAAAAGTAACTGAAACAAAGAAATAAACATAGGAATAAAAAGGACAGCAAAATGACAGTAACAAAACCATATCTACTAAACTGAATGTGAATGGACTACGTACACCAGTCAAGAGAAAAAGAGCAGCAGAATGGATAAGAAAAAACATGACCCAAAAATCCAATGCCTTTTATTAAAATTCTGAAATACTTAAACTAATCCTGATATACTTACTAGATTATATTGAATTTTAAGGGTAAATGTTTAAGTAAGTATACAAGAAGAATACTATTAAGTTGTAAGTATAAGAAAATTGAGCTTTCCTTTGATTTCCTCACAGTAACATTTAGCATCAGAAGGCATAGGAAAATATCTATAAAGTGATCAGAAAAAAGAAATAGGAATAAAAATGTTTCACTTTCAGAAATTATCATTCAAGTATAAAAGCAAGAGGCAAACAATAAATGCAAAATTATTTGTGAAGTATAGTACACAT